TGTCCATCCACGTCACTGGCGTTCTGACTCAGCTTACATCGTACTTGTCGGTGGTTTTAATCTAGTTCATAGATAGTTCCTATCGACTCGACATCTAGAAAGACTTCCTTCAGTAAAATAATGTCTAACATGCTAGGCGTTTTGTGTTGTTCAGCTGTTTGGGGTCGCCGGAGCGATTATTTTAAAATTGAGTTCCTCCTAAAATTATATAATTTCCGTAATTTTGACTAGGTTGTCGAATCCCATGCTTTGTGTTTGCTAACAAACACATACACAATAATTAAGTAACACAGAGGGTCCTAGGTTTAATAAATACTTACAAGTTAGATTTAAGAATGATTTTGGATGTAATGAGATAGGCCGAAACTAGCAATTCTCGGTGGGTGACCACTAGTAGACACCTCTGAACAAAGGACCTTTTTGCCCAGCAGTGGAGTATATATAAACTATTACTTTACTTTACTCTTTATGAATGGTAAATGGTATTTTATTGAAATGAACTCTATTTGTATAGTTAATATTATTGTTGTAATTCTTATTGTAATAGCCAACCCAACGGGTTTAAGCCCGAAAGAGTTTAAACTAGTTGTAACTTCTATTGCTACTATGAAATAGAAAGCTATATTTGATTTAAATTTAATAACTTGCATATACGGCCATCATAACATAAGGCCATTAAATTGTTAATGTTGTTAAGCGCCTCTCTACGCTTTTTTGTACGATCTCACCCGGCGTATTTTTGCGGTGGCAAAATTAACGTCATCAGCATCTGAAAACAACACAAATAATGTGCTTATAAGATTAAAAAGGGTTGGGAATTTCTTTTGTTGCGTGAAAACACCGTTGCAGCTTCTTTATACTGGCAAAAAAGTGTTAAAAGTGGTCGCGTTACTTAGCTTTTATTTATGTCGATTTAGCGTCAACGATTTATTTTATTATTTTAGTGAAAGAGTTAGAATTATGCAGGTTTCACCTAAAGTAAAATAAAAGTAAGTAAAGCAGGACTATATATGCTCTGAAATGATCTCCTCTACACAGAGGGTATCCCCGCATAGTCAACCAGGTATACCGACTGCAGTTTTGTAGACATCACACATCTTCGCAATATATTTTTTGTTATTAATTCTATTACGCAGTTTCCTTGATTATACTCAATTTAAGACATTAGACATTTATTCCGTCATCTTAGAATAATGATACAAAATATGAACATTGAAATTACAAAAAATAAAACCACAGAGAGCGAGTGTCCACTGTGGACACTGAGCTATCACGACTCTATTTACGTGTTGAATGTAACGGTTTAACGAAATGATTACTCGTGCAAGTACTACACTTGTAGCGTGCCACACTTTTGACGTAATGCGTGTCCAGCGTTAAAAAAGTAGTTCCGGTCTACCCCACTCTCACGTAGTAATAGAAACGTACCAATATTTATATTTTGAATTAGTCTTTTTTAAGTCGTACTACTCCCAAAGATGAGTCAACCCAGTCGTGCTAAGCCAGAAATTGCTCGGAGGCTAGCAAAGAAAAAAATAACGCTTATATTTCTTTGCCATTTTGGTGGGATGTTTCGTTTTTCATCATTTTGCATTTGCTGTCGTATTTATCACGGGAATCGTATTTATAACTGCAAGGAATAATAAGCTCTCTCGAGTTTGACCACCGTAAAATGCGTCATACCACCCAATACCATCGATACTACCGTGATGATCAGCGGTCTACCGTTATGCATTTTTCACAAAATTATCTGCGTATTATGAAATTTTATCACCAGTGTTATTTCCTAATAGATACGACTTAGGGACCTACAAGAAGAGATTTAGTCTATTTCTATATAAAGGCTATATATGAATAAAGGCTATATATAATATAAAGGCTAACAACGTAATTTATGATTATTGGAGAGTTGTGAGAGTCCATGGGTGATGGCTTACTCGTACCATGAGGTGACCTGGTATTACCACCTATTTTAAAAATAATCAATGTAAAATATTCTAGAGTTAAGCTACGTTCACAACTGTAATTATGATGAACTAAAAGAATAAAATTGTAAAATGAATTTTATTCGTAATTTATTTCTTGTATAAATGTAAAATCTAAATCAGACATTTAAATTTATAACCAAACCAATTTTTGGAAACTTGTTATTTTTAAGGAAATATTTATAAGACAAATGTTATGAATTGTATACTTTTGTTCTGAATCGCTAACGTTAACCGTCTTTTGACAACGGCCCTATAGAATACTGTTCTTTTTTTGATTTGTATAACTGATGTTACGCTTTCAATCCTTAGACGATTAAAGCTTCATCGAATGCGAAACCGGTGCTTTAGCCAGAACCCACGGGTTTGAGTACTGCTCTTGTAGAATGTCGGACTGCCATGAGATCTAACAACCTTTGATCCATTTCATATGTGACTCTGCGATATTTATAAAACGCCTTTTTCTTATGTATGTTTGAAACGGTCGTAAAATGCGATGACTTGGATAAATTTCTTGATATTATCTCCAAGAAATAATCTGCACTGAATAGCCGCCCTTAACCTGTCGTTGCCAGAAATAAAATCTGGAATCGAACGCGTGCCAACAGAACGCATTTCGAAAGCAATGAGAAGTATTTGATATCTTTTGGCTACGTGTATAAACGTTTATTAACAAAATAACTTTCAGAGTTTTACTTGTTTTGAAATTAGGCAAGGTACCATTTATAAATTCAAATAATTTTTGGGATTTCCAATTATTTCTTAAACCTAACACAAGTTTAGTAAAACGTTTGAATGGAAAAATAAACACCTGTCTGACCTGGCTGACGACGTTAGTTGCGAATATAAAATTGAAACATAATGCCTCTAAATACAATTTTAGGAGCTAGATTTTAGCAATTGTGAACTATAAACGTACGTAGCTAATAAAAAATAATTTGTGTATATTTTAAACTAAACGAAGAAATAATAAGCATTCTTAATTTTCTAAATACGTTATTATGAACCAAGCCTGTGAACTCGATTTTTAACAATATTTTGCCAATTATAGAACTTGTGATTTTGATAAGGCAACACCCTCACTAAAAACTAAAGATGGCAGATTGTTGTTCTGCTTTTATTTTGTAAGTTGCCTAGTTTTTTTTTTGTTTAATTTGTGCTGAGTTAATTTCAGTGAATTTACTGGATCTGAGAACGATTATGCAGTGGACGATTTTGTGATGGGATTTGTGAGAAACTCCTTTGCGATATTTATGCTTATATTATTTTTATTTTTATCTTAAGTTGTACGATAAGGATGCTTTGATAATGGAAGGGCAAGAAAGCATGACTTGTGTTAAATGCGGAATTTTATTTTGTACGGAGAGAATCATTGAGCAATACTCAATACCATATTTTTGTGAAATAACAAAAATAAACACACACATAACAAAACAACACATAACAAAAATATCATGAATACATGAATTTAAAAATTAATTAGGAAAGTAGCATTTTACAAGTTGTGTTCATACAATTACTATAGTTTGGTACCTATGACGGGCCAGAATTACCAAAGTATTTTAGGACCAGCAGGTTTTCTTGGTGGACAGTGATTCTTATTTAAAGTAAAAGTAACAGCCTATACATGTCCCACTGCAGGGCAAAGGCCTCCTCTATATAGAGGGTATCAGGGCATAGTCCACCACGCGGCCCCACTGCGGATTGGTGGACTTCACATATTTTCGAAATATATATATTTTTTTTTGTTATTATTTCGAAAATATGCAGGTTTCCTCACGATGTTTTCCTTCACCGCGGAGCACGTGATAAGTCAGCACTTAAAGTTAAAAACTTCATTGGTGCCGGCACCGGGGATCGAACTCAGGTTGCTCGAGTATATTGAATTAAAGGCGAGCGCCCGGACACTGAGCTATCACGGCTCTTATTTATGGAATATATAATATTATAAGTGTTTTTTCTTCGAAGATAACAGCCCTTAACTGTACCTACGTAAATACATATAAACACTGCTTCATTTTTCTAGTTATTTTTAATATCGAGGCTTATTTCTAAGTTTTTTTTAAAAGCTGTAAAAGTCGAAATATAATGATAGTATCGTTAAGAAAAATCTGTTACTTAATTTGGTAATCGTTTTTAACTTCATCAAAATAAAATATAACAGCCGTTTAGAATTAATACTCTGTCAGATCGATTTGAATAGAATATTTGAGATGTAATATGCTACCCTGAAGGTGCTGGAAACTTCTATAGCGTCGTTTGGTTTATTATAATCTTTTTTACATAGAGCGCAGTCTATTTTATTATAGATTTTTTTATTATTATTTAAACTCATAGCACTAATATACGACATAACCTTAAAAACTTTAGACCGAAATATCTTTAATTCCACACTTCCTTTAATAACAATATGTATGTATGATATATTCAGAATATTAAATCCTATATTTTTAAAAATTTTTCGTCTTAAGACTCAAAAAAAATTGTTCTACAAAAATTTGTATGGTAGTTCGCCATTGTCCTTTTGTTTTATTAGCAGGTGTTTTTAATTTCAAATTTTCTGATGATCTCAGAAGATGCGGATGGGATTCATGTAAAAACTCGAAACGTTTCATTAAATAAAAGGGATACGATGGATTAAACAGAACGTTGTAAAGAAGGGAGAGTATATGACCATTCCAGCGAAGTCGAATGGGTAACCACTTGAGCTTAGAACGAAAATGTGAGACATGATCATATTTACGTAAGCCAAATATGAATCTTATACAGAAATTTTAGATTCCCATATGGTCCTGTCGCATATTAATTTCATTTATATTGGATCTCGGGCTCTGGAGATACTTAGGGAACTCCTCGAAAATCAATTATGAAATGAATACAGAACGAGACATTTGAAGTCAGTTTGGTTTTTCGTTAAAAAAAAATGGACTTGTTTATCTGCGTAGATTTTCGCTAACACCAAGGCCATGGTCTAAGCGTAGAACACCGTGGTCTGAAAGATACTTTATGGTCCACATGAAAAGATACATCGGCACTAGTGTAAATATAAACGGCTTCCTTAAATATAAAACGCTCTCGTGCACCTCGAGTCTGACTGTCGCGTCTTTTTTTAGATTTCAGCTAACGAATAACGCAAAGTGCCCACTGAGCAGTGTCTTTGTGATACGCGCGCGTACAACAGTAAGTTATCTGTGCTATATTTTTTTTTTTTAATAAAACTTGAAAAAAGTTAGTGCTGACTTAGTTTCACGATTATTGGAGAGGTCACGATCAGATTTTGAAAGATGACGGATGTGACGACGACGATAGTTATTAATTAGGCGTTTTTGCTCAAATAATGTGTCGGTGCCGCGGAAACTAGGTGAAGGTGAAGCATATTTGTGTTCTGCGATCCGAGAAAACGTGCTAAATATAGTTGTTACGTTTCAAAAACACAAATTCCTACGGTTATGCACACATTTTTCTTTATTAAAAAATGTAGCAATTATGTTTTGTCTTCCTTTCGGATAATTATGTTCTCTGGAGTGGATATATTACGCAGGCTAAATGTACATACATATGTAACTTAATAATCAACCACTATCCAAATGGAGATCTTAGTGGGCTTTGTTGATCTTCCATCGAAGACTGCGAATTCTGTCAATATGCTATACTAACTTGCTTAAATGGCTACGCTTATTTATCGTACTGATGTGTAATAACTATAAAAATTGATATGCTTTTGACCACATTTAATATTCATTCAAAGTTATTAATTCTCTCGTTTTTTAAGATTTGCAGTTTTTTGTAAGTATACGGTAACATTTAAGTCACTTTCATACAAGTAATTGATATTTTTTTTTGTAAAACCCGCCAAATAATTGATAAATAGATGTAAACACCATTAATACCCATATTGTTACAGTACCGTTGAGCGCCAATCGCGAATATTATTTTTCTAAATGCTTTCATTAAATACTCTTAAAATGGCCCTTTGAGACGAAAAAAGAAATGTATACATCACTAATGAAAATTTTATCTTAACTTACATGATGATTATATTTTTTTGATCTCAGGCACCATATATCACTCTCAATCAATATTTTTTCTTTCGAAACTTTTTTCTTTTGGACTTTTGACTTGGTTTATATTCCTTAGCCCAATTAAAATTCAAGACTAATGATATAGTTGTAGTAACGATAAATCATTTTTTCGCTTAATTGTTCGGACAAGCAATTTCTTCAGAGGCAACAGCAAGAATAACAGATTAATATTTGGCCATAAATTGGATAACGAAGTCAGTCGAGGACAGATCAATGAGGTTACTGAGAGCCTTGGAGTGTAATTTGACCGGCATTATTAAATTTATTCCTTTCAGTCAGTAGATGAGATATAATTCTTGCTCCGAGTAACATAATTCAATTATCTTCCCTTGACAATAATATTTACTAGAAGAGAAATAGTAATTAAGTAATGAATTGTTTTTTTTTATTAAACAATCATGTAATCGGTTTTCAGAATTCTGCCTTTTCAGGCCCAGTTTTATTCTCATTTTTAAATTAATTCTAGGAAGATAAAATCTGCATTCATAAATTCCCAACTTCTTATTAAAACTATTTGCTTTGCAAATTGGTCTTTCATTATGAGCATTTACATTTCTACTTGGGCCCTAATTGTAGGAACAGCGTTAAGGTATCTCAATATTTTATACTTATCCTAGGTTAATTAACATCTTAAAGAAAAAACATTCGAGCAATTACTTTTAATTCTTACATGGCATTTGCCCTGAGCTCATAATTAAAAATTAATTTTATTTAAATTTTATGCACAGAAATTGAAAGATACCAAAGCCAAACTGATTAATGTTACTGGTCAAACGTAAATATTATAACTTGTCATTAAATTCGAGTAATAAATAATGGTTGATCGAATTTTGTCACTTTATAACTGAAATTCTTTACCAATATTTCTCTCTATCGCATATTTTAACATGTAATTCTTTATTGCATATTTTCGCTTTAAAAATGGTTACAAAAGTTTTTATTATATTATTTGTGATATAAAAGAGAGTCTCGTAAATTACATCAATTTCGATGTCCGATGAAACGTAAGCTTAATAGAGATTATTCCAACAACTTCTAAATACGAGTGTTTTGGCGGACTTGAAATATCTTCGAAATATTTCTATTGAAGTTACACTTATTTTGGCGCGTTTGGAAAAAACATGAGAGTGAAATTTTTACGATGCACGCGCAAACCGACTGCCAAAAAGCGTCATAATGAGGTCGGTTGCAAGGAAACCAACTTCACGGTATTATCAGGACAACCATTAACAACTTTTTGTCATTCACCTATATATTTCCAAGGTACATTCATTATTTATTTATTTATGTATTGTTAGGTACACCAACAGCATAAAATATAATATTATTTATATGTTCTTTGGTATAGGGCAAATTTTAATATATATATATATATATATATATATATATGCCTATTACAGGTATACACAACATTGATAAAAAGAGTTAAACACACTTATAAACTAAAATAAAAAAAATAAGAAGTGGACACTAAAGATAAATTATCAGTAGACTAAATTAAACTTACAAAAGACATCGAATATGCTTGCATATTAGTAAATTGATATGTGAAATCTAACATGCTAATAATGAAAACAATTTGTTTTTAAAAACGTTTAGTGAATCGTTAAAAATATCCAGCTCGGTTTTTGATACAGACAAATAGTTGTATTCAGACAAAATTCTTGAGAATGACTTATGCAGTCCTAAATTGGTGCGATACGGGGGAATGTAAAATAGTTTGGTAATATGAGATCTAGGATATTTGTAGGGGACTACGATTACTAATTGCATTTCATGTCTTTTTCACAAATAATGGGGATAAAATTATTAGTTTTTTTTCTTTTGTTACGCTAAAACTTTTTGAAGTATAGATTTATACGCGCTTGCATAATTACACACATGCTTTTTTATTTCGAAATGTGCAAGTTCAATTCACGATGTTTTTCTTTGCCGATAAACACCTGTATTGAAACGGAGAGCCGGAACAGATTGAATTTTACTTTGGCGAGCACTAGGACATTGACATCACACGTCTATCATTGAACCTAAATCTACTAGCATTTTTATTTGAAAAGATGACAAGCAAGCAACCGGTATGTTGTGATTAGAACTTCACAAGAGACTCGATATATTTAAACTTCACAAGAGACTGGTTGCTACGTAGTGGAGGGTTCAGTATGCAAAGGTGAACACGATTTGTAAACGTACTTACTGTGCTTAATACTGTAAATGATGTTTTTGTTCTCTACTATTTGTTTAAATAAAGCTTTATTTTTATTAAAGCTTTATTATTCCCACCGCCCAATCGACCATTTACAAAGTGCCGTCATTCAGCAGACCAAATGATAAAGAAAACTTCTATTCCTCGTGGTCTTCTGTAATGCTGAGGTGCCTCAGGATGAGCCATTCGTGCAACGGCTTAACCAGCTGCTGCGTAACATACTAATTAAACTCTGTTTACTAAAATCTGTAAGAATTAAGGTTACGTTAAATTGTTTTTTCCTTTTCAGGTGCGCATAGAGTTTAAAACAAGTGTGAACGTGTATGTAACCAAGATGATACCGTGTTTCATTTGAGGTGAGATTTAAAACTTATTCCATCATTTGCAGTATCAGTCTTTCGCAAATATAGAATTCGTTTTATAACTATCCAGAAAAAAAACTTATGCTATGTTCTCTTTACCCGTATAATGTTCACTTAGTTTAACGACTGCGATTTAATTAAGAATAAGCCAATGTCAATAATTGAATACAATTTCATTATACTATGCTTCCTTCTATTGTTGAGAATTGTTGAGAATTGTTGAATTGTTGAGAATAAATCATTAACATCTTATATATAAAATTGTCGTGCCACAATGTTATTTACCTTACTGATTTTTACCAAATTTTATATGCATATTCAGTAGGTCTGAGAATCGGCTACTATCTATTTTTCATACCCCTAAGTGATAAGGGTTGTTCACCCTTAACATTTTTTTTTATTTTTGGACAAAATTGTTTGTTTTTATATTTTATGATACAGCATACAAAAATACATACAACCCTAAACTTTCATCACTCTACGCAGACGTAGTCGTGGGCAGCAGCTAGTAATATATTAAAATAAATATTGTTAAGACTGGATTTTACGCCTAACGTATTAATTATCATGATAATAGGCATAGGTTTTCTCTTTGTACCTTCACATTCTTGTTTCCGGTGATGGATGACGTTTTCACTTCGACCCGTAGACTTCTTATGGTACAGGTCCATAAAAAATAAAACAAAATTTCGTGCTTTTAATTTAGTCCAAGCAGGACCATTCGGAAAGGTTTCAGAATACTTTAAGCATATATAATGGGTAGATCGGGTAAAACAGATATCCTAAAAATGATATCTTTAAAAATGGCAAAAAAATCATGTCTGTTGCATGAGAGAGTCACTTAAAATTTTTTTGATTCTGTTTTTTAGTATTAGTTGTTATAGCGGCAACAGAAATACATCGTGTGAAAATTTCAACTGTCTAACTATCACGGTTTATGATACAGCCTCGTGACAGACGGATAGAGAGACAGACTTACAGTGTAGTCTTAGTAATTGGTTGCCGTTTTACCATTTGTGTATGGAACCCTAAAAAATTTAACGGTAACCCAGGGCAACTATGGGATTAGGACATAAAACTTCTCAGCCTATCCGAAACTAACGTATTTCAAAGGGCGAGGATTAAAACCAAATTTAAAAGTGATAAAAGCCGTAAATACGTTTAATTGGGCAATATTCTAATAAGTAATTACTTTGACTCTTTAATGAATCAAATCGCTAAAACAATATAGAAGTCAAGGCAGCTACACCATTGTATCGTCAATTTGCAATAACAACTCCATCACGAAAAGTCCAAGCACTTTTATTATAAATAGCAGCTGTGGCACTCGTGACCTGGTCGAGTGACTCACGACGAATTTGGCGCGTGCGTTAGTTCCGGCTCTCACCTATGTGGTGTTGATCTAGCAGATACATTCCTTTTGTCTCCCTGTTATTTTTTAGGAGCAGGTGGCAAATTTTTATAGTCTTTAAAGAGCATTTTGATTCTCCTTCTCAATCTCATAAGCAGAACCTAGAGTTGCATTGTAAGCAATTGTGCCTATTCAAGTAGAATAATATGAATATGTGTAATTTAAACATTACGTTCAAAGAATTAGGATTTTAAGATAAGAAGAAGATTGTAAGAAAAATTATCACCACATAGTATTATCGCTGTCTGTCTATTATATATATGTATATATATATGCTTAGATCTTTAAAACTGCGGTTTTTTTAACTAGATAGCGAGCTTAAAGAGGAAAGTTTATAATATGAATAATACATTGCAGCCATACGAAGCCGGGGCGAGGCACTAGTATAACATAAATTAAAATTATACTTAAAAAATAATATACTTCCTAATATTATAAAGGAGACAGTTCGTATGTATGGATGGATGATTGTTACTTTTTCACGCAAATACTACAGAACGGATTTTATTGAAACTTTATAATAATGTAGCTTATACATCAAAATAACATATAGCTATAATTTATATACATATTTATTATGTATACCTGTTTTTCTGTCTGAATTTTACGCCTTCAGCCTATTCTACCTAGACGAGTTCGCGGGCAGCAGCTAGTACTAAATATATTATAGTATATTATGTAATATAATATAGTATATTACATAATAGTAACTATATTACTAAATATATTTAACTGTGGTGGGACCACGCAACAGTTCGCTGTTGAACGAATGGCCAGATCCGTCGGGGGAAGTACCACTAGCTCACAGGAGACTGGCGACTTCTGCATTTCATCTGGTGAGTGAGGTAGCCGGGGCCCACTTTATTAAAAAGTGGCAACACATTTGCAACGCTACGGGTGTTGCAAATGTCCGGTGGTTATCACTCAACATCAGTACAACCGCTTGCCATCTTTTTACATAAAAGATTTTTTTTATGTGATAAGTTGCCAAGCGAGCAGGCGGTTCTCCTGATGTTAAGTGAATACCGCCGTCCATGGATATCTACTACAACCGAGCCTGCCCATTCGTGCAACAGCCGAGGCTACTGCGTGGCCCTACCACTGTTAAACGGATTTTTATTACATAATAGATACATAAAAAAAGAAAAAATATATGATAATACTTTGATTAGTTAAAATATCAAGAAAATGAAATAAATTAAATGGCTTAAAAAATTAAACAAGTTGAACGAAAAATATCATAAGGAAGATTGTACAAAATTGGCACAATGCATCTTAAGTATTGTACGTAATAGCGTCATACTAGTAAGACGTCGAATGACGTATTTTATGTTCATGCCAAAATTCTCGTGAATAAGTAATTAGTCACACACACAAATATACGTTATGTATTAGAATAAATAAAATACAAAACGCTATTCCAAAATAATAATACAAATACAAATATACTCAAAACAAAAATATAAATAATAGTTGTCAAAACAAGTCGATCTTGTGTTACATTATAACTTAAATGATACCTTTGTAAAAAATAAAATTTAAACTCGTTAAATAATTTTTCTAACTATCTACTTTTGACTAACGAGCATTTTGTCTAACAACCGCCCAAGATCAAAATTATTCAGCCGAATATTCATATTTGGTCGAAACCATATACAAAGCGCTCCACTACAATAGACAGAGGAATATTTTACCGCCGAAGTCATTAAAGACAGTAATGAAGTTATGATACGATACAGTTTTATACATATATTAGCCAGACGTTGGATATCACCAAGAACAAATTTTACAAAAGAAATGTTCTCAAAGTTTTAAGGGGCTTTACGGCACGGTATTGTACGAGATTGATAATGATTCCCGCGGAAACTAAATATTGGAATAAGAAACGCCACTAGCCATAAGGTCTTGATGAAAAAAAGTAGGTATAATAATATAATACATTTGCGAAACTATTAGGCACGTATCGAATCTAATAAAGCTGGCGTTCTCATCTTGATTTGTTAGCTTTGGGGCGCGAGCGGTGGCAGCGGAAGTTTTCCTTGCGGGGCTTATGGAGCAATTGCGTGTAGGGTGACCATTAATAAAGGACGAATAACGGCCAGAAATTTTCACGTAGAATCGCTAAAGGCGCGGCCTCTTCAGTCGATCCCGGTTATGTATACTGTAGACTAATGTTAAAATATGTGCTTGAAGTCGCACATCTTTTCGTATAGAAATACTTCATCCCACTTTTTTTTTTCATTCACCAGAGGAAACGCGAAAGTATATTTTGTATTACTTCCACTTTACGCTGGTCTTCTGTGAGGTCGTGGTCCTTACCCGGACGGGCCTGCCCATTCGTGCAACAGCCGAGGCTGCTGCGTGGACCTACCACCGTAAACCTACTTTCGCTGTTCACGAAATGTCTAAACAGTACGAGTTTAAATTTAATTTGGAATTTAGCGTTTTTAGAGTTCCGTCCCAAAAGGCTAAACGGGACCCTATTACTCCGCTATCTCTCTGTTCGTCTGTCAGCAGGCTATATCCCAAGATCCGTTATAGTGAGACAGATGAAATTTTCTCAACGAATACTAAAAAAACGGAATAAAAAAAATGTTTAAGTAAGGCTCCCATACAAAATACATGACTTTTCCCGGTTTTAAATATATTGTTACGGAACCCTTCGCGCGCGAGTCTGACTCGCACTTGGTCGATTTTCTTAAGTTTCTTTTATAAGAAATGTAAAAAAAAACCTCTCAGACAGTGGTCCGTGCTAGTTTCCAATGAACGAAATGAGCTCAGCGATTCCGCACACGGCCGCATGCAATTTTCTTGGCCACAGAGCTTCCTGCGATGCGGTAACGACCGAGCGCAGCGATTGTTTAACCGAACTAACCACGGACACGTAATTCTTTGTATAGAGGTCGACACGTGCAACTTTTTAGTTGTTTAAAAAAGTTTTCAAGTTTCAGGTCGTTCTTAGCATTTGTAATGTAAAAAACCGGCCAAGTTCGAGACGAACTCGCGCACGAACGGCTCCGTACCATCACTACACAGTATAAAACAAAGTCGTCCCGCAGTCTGTCTGTCCCTATGTATGCTTAGATCTTTAAAACTACGCAACGGATCTTGATGCTGTTTTTATACTAGAAAGAGGTTTATATGTATAATACATTATATGCATAATACATTGCATCCGTGCGAAGCCGGGGCGGGTCGCTAGTTATCTATAAAAACAGCAAAAAACTCATGTCTATCGTTTAGAAGCCGCACTTAATATTGTTTTATTCTGTTTTTAGCATTTGTTGCTATAGCGGCTATGCTATAAATGTCTAATTATGACGGTTCATGAGATACACGGTGACGTGCTGTGCAAATGTGCGGGAAGTCGATGGATGCAGGTGGCTCAGGATCGTACTTCATAGCAGGCCTGTGGGGGAGGCCTATGTTCAGCAGTGGACTCAAACAGGCTGAAATGATGATGATGATGATGATGATGAGATACAACCTGGTGAGAGACGGACAGACAGACAAACAGACAGGAATAGGAAGGACTAGAATAGGGTCCCATTTCACCCTTTGGGTACGGAACCCTAAAAA